GAAAAAATTAACATATAATGCATTTGTACGTCTCAAATTAACAATTTTTGTTTTTCTCGGGAAAAATTAATTTTTTTACAACTTCAAAAAAATGAGGAATAAAATAAGAAACAAAATAATACAAAAATAAAAATGAATATCATTTTTGGACATCTCAATTCTAAGGACTTTTTTAGGAGTGTCCAAAAATTGTTTTTTGTATAAGACTCTTTTTTGCGTATTTTAATTCTTTCATTTCATTTTTCCATATTTTTATTTTGGGTTTTCTTTTTGAACTTTCTAAAAAATTATGCTAAGTAACAAAAAGTGAAAATGTTTAATTTTATAAAGATGTAATGTATGTTAATTTTTTCATTTTCATTTTTATTTCAAACACAAAGAATTTTAAATTTTTCTAAATATTATAAAAAATTGAAAAGAAATTTTTAAAAAAATCTAGGAAAAGGAAAAAAGAGATGAGCACGAGTGCCCTCTATCGTTTCGAAATTATGCGCCAATGCCGCCTCCTCTTCACCGGAAAATGGCCAAAAAATGATCAGAAGGGGTGTGGGTGCAACGTTTTGAAACTACGAGGACTTTTGAAATAAGTTTTGAAAACAGAGAGGGCATTGGTACCAATTTTCCAAACCACATGGGGCACGGGAGCTATTTGGCCCAATTCACACCCACTACATATTTTCATCCTATTAATGCTTTTTTATTACTTTCCTTAATTATTTTTTAAAAATTGGTTTATATATTAACGTTGGAAAAACTTTTCAAAAAAAACGTTGGAAAAAATACAGTAACATTTATTTTATAATCTCAAAATTAAATTTGTTCTTTTTTCTTATATGCATAATAAAGAATATTATGAAGTATAATATAAGTTACCATTTATATATTACTATTTTTAAATATTTGCACTAAATAGCACTAAAACTTAAGTCATTTCTCTAAATAGCACTTACATTATTTTATTTCTTAAAGAGCACTTAATAATGTTCATAATGTCCATTGATGACGAATATTTACTTGAATAATGACTAATACATAATGACTAAAAGTGCTACATTGGGAAGAAAAACACATGTGGTGCTATTTAGAGAAAGTCATTATGTTTTAGTGCTATTTAAGTAAATTTCTCTACTATATATTATGGTACACAAAATTTTACTAATGGATCTTTTACATTTAGAAAAATATGTTATGTTTTAGAGTTGTGCTTCTATGGTCTTAAGGTGCACACGTGAAATATGACCTTCTCATAATTCGTTTTTGCAAAAAGCCTAATTTATCAAAATATTTATGTACTAATGTTTAAAAAATGAGTGTGGACATAAAGACCACATAAGAATTTGCTTATGTTTTAATATATGTATGACAAATTTTACAACATGCTCCAAATAGTAAGAGCCTGTTTGGAAATAGCGTCAGAGATTAGCGTTAGCGTTTTGAAAAGGCTATCTACGGGTAGCGTTTAGCGTTAGCGTTTTCAAAGTAATCTGCACCATTAAAACTTTATTCAAAACGCTAACGCTAATCTGTAACGCTATTTCCAAACAGGCCATAAGTCAATAATAGTTCAATTGAGTACTCTGTTGTTTTTGGTAGCATGTTTGTTTACATAGTCGTAAGGAAGTCACCCCAAGCTTCTCCACATCGAGTGTTCAAGTCTAACATCCACTTATGCTATGTACTTCTCATCCACGCCTTTTTTCGTACTCCATAGAGAAAATACTAAAAGAAAAGTTAATATTTGTATCCCAAAATAAGACTTACAATGTCAATAATGTCTATATATAATACCAAAAAATACCTATTGAATATAATAAAAATATATACTGCCAAATTGTCACGTTGTAGTGTTTCTATTTTCGGTCTGTGTTTTGGTCCTTGCAAGGTACATCTCTTTTGGAAGAACGTGTAAAATCTCATTTCTTTTAAAATGATTTTATTTACAAATTCCTATAAAAAAAGATACAAATTGCACCGTGCAAAATCATATCAAAGTTCTACAAAACTATAGCTGATAAGAATATTTAATTTTGAAAATGATCTAGAGTAATTTACCTAAATAGGACTAAAACATAATGACTTTCTCAATATAGAACCATATGTTTTTATTTCCCAATGTAGGACCATTGGTCATAATCTATTAATCATTATTCAACTAAATGTCCAACATCATTTAGACATTATTCTTTTCACTAGTCATTATTAAGTCCTATTTAGGGAATAAAAAATTATAAGTCAAACATTGGAAAATGAATTATGTTTTAGTTTCATTCAGTGCAAATTTCACAATGATCTATGAAAACATGCATACCAATATAAATTATCGAAATTACTTTATTAGGTGACTATGACTGACAATGTAAGCTACTCCTCCTTTTGAAACCAAACCACTTAGCTATATAAAGACATGCACTCCCCTATCTCCATTTCACCTACAAATCCAACTACTCATCAACCAAAGCATTTGGCAATGATGATGAATTCTTCAAGGCAGTTCTTTCTCATCTCCCTTTTCTTGATGATTTTCCTCTTCCATGGCCTCCATTCCATTTCCTCTGCTAGCCATCATCATCAACACAAACATAGAGTACTCACCAAGAAGGCCATAACTCCATGCAAAACCCTAAACTTCTACCTCCATGACATACTCTACGACGGTCACAATTCCCATAACGCCACTTCGGCCATTGTCGCCGCACCCGCCTGGGCCAACCGGACCGTCTTGGGGGCCCAAGACTGCTTCGGAGACGTGATCGTGTTCAACGACCCGATCACGTTGGACAACAACCTCCACTCGAAGCCCGTGGGGTGGGCCCAGGGGTTTTATCTGTATGACAGGAAGGACGTGTTCACTGCATGGTTTGCCTTCACTTGTAGCTTCAACACCACCAAGCATAGGGGTACCATCAACTTTGCTGGAGCTGACCCTTTGATGAACAAGACCAGGGACATTTCGGTCATTGGTGGCACTGGGGATTTCTTCATGGCTCGAGGAGTCGCCACTTTTATTACTGATGCATTTGAGGGTGTCTCCTACTTCAGAGTCCACATAATTGTTAACTTATACGAGTGCTGGATATAATATAATTATTATTTCAAAAAAAAAAACAAAAAATTACTATGGACTGTTATTTTAATTTACTACGTATGAGTCATGCATGCTTCACATGGTGACTGTAGCGTACAAAATAATTTTCTTACTCCGTAGTTTAATTTGTCGTCGAGTCAGCTCAGTTGGAAATTACTATTTCCATGCAAGTGTGTCTTTCTTTTGGTTGAAATGTTTTTATTGGTACGTAGTAAGGAAGAATAAGTAGTGTGTGTTTCTTTTATTAGTTTTTGTTTTTTTTCTTTTTCCACTTCAGTTTAATTTGCATAATAAAGTTTGAAGATTTTATGTACCTGCCTTATTCTTTAATCGTAATTAATAACTTCACTTTTGGTGCATGGAAGCATGTTCATCTAGTGGCTAGGAGATCACCTCAAACTTCTCTACATTTGATCTACATTTGAAGTGTTTTTTAAAATGACTTGTAAGAAGTGGATAAGTTAAAAAATTGTAAAATGACGAAAATTGAAAAAAAAAATATTTCGATAAGGGCTGGGTATTTTCTTTACGTGTAAACAGTCTAGGGTGGTTTGTACCTATAAAAAGAGAAGAAAAAGTACGGTAAAAAAAGTGGAAACTCCCAATATATGTAAAAAAAATTAAAAACCATTCCCGGCAGTGTAAGTCAAAGTTTTTTTTTCTTGGCAATGCAACACGGAGTTTGCTACTCCGTCTAATTTCGAAATAATAAGAAAAATGGAGTTGGCTACTCCGTTCGGCGTGGATTTATTTCCTAGACGGAGTAGCGTACTCCATTCGGCTTTAATAATACAGAGACGGAGTTGCCTACTCCGTTCCTCTTCGAATCTCAGATCTAGCCAATCTCCTCCCATCCACTCGTTTTCCTGGGCCAAGACAGAAAAGAAAAGACAGAGACGAGAGAGAAGGAAACGCCGAAGGAGAGAAGTACGACGAGGAGAAACACACAAGGGGCAGATCGACGGCGCCCAACCCGACCGGAGTCAGGTACTCCGTTTCGTCTGTAGGTTATTTTTTTTTTAAATTTGTTTGAATGATGTTGTACAAGATTTTGAATTTTGTGAAAATATTGACAAATATATATTTTAATTTTATAAATTTGATATTGTAAGAAATATATTTAGTCATAGATTATATGTATAAGTGCTTTTTTTGTTATATTTGTTTCGATGATGTTGTAGTTGGTCTATACAAAATTTTGAATTTTGTGAAAATATTGACAAATATATAGTTTAATCTTACAAATTTGATACAAAAATAGATTGTATGTATAAGTGGTTACTTCATGATTTTTTTGGATTCTAATTGTCTTGTTATTTTTCTATTAATTGAAAATATTCTTATGTTGTAATCCTTGAAGCAAATGGATGTACATCTGGGACCTATTTCACGAGATTTTTTAGTAATTGAAGCGGGAGAGCATAGGTCTGATGCGGTTTGGGAGGATGAAGAATATGCTAAAAAAGTATTAAAGTGTCATAAGACTTGTACTAGTTTGTATACCATCACTCTTATTGTTAACAGACCGATTCGTGTGATTGAGATTTTATTACGAGAATACGGATTTTATGGGGTTGAGAAAGTTGGTGAGTTGCAGTTGGATTGGGCTCTGATCACTTCTTTAGTGGAGAGATGGAGACCCGAGACCCATTCATTCCATCTTCCCTTCGGAGAGGTTGGAATTACTTTGCAAGATGTAGAGGTTTTGCTTGGATTGCCCATAGATGGAATTCCATTGGCGGAAATGACTGGCCGATCCAGGGATCAGTGGATTTAGATTTGTGATGACATGATGGGATTTAGGCCTCATACATCCGATATTACGTCTACTATGATTGAGATGTCTGCCATTGTTCCTAAGCAACTAACAAATCATAGTATAGATGTAGATTACTTCGAGCATGCTAGAGCCATTATGTTTAAGTTGTTGGGTGGTAGCTTATTTCCCAACACGACGGGAAATAAGGTTAGTTTGTATCTTTTAGAGATTATCATGGGTGACGTAAACATTGTGCGAGGTCGTGCGATTGGTTCGGCAGTACTCATTTTCTTGTACCGTAGTATGTGTCGTGCTAGTGCGACGAGTGCAGCACAGATTAGAGGTTGTCTAGTCTTGTTACAATTTTGGGCTTGGGAGCATCTGCCTATGACTAGACTTAGAGGGATTATACCATTGGATCAGCTGGTAGATGTCCCATATGGAGTCAGGTATTTGTAGTTTATTTATGTATATCATAAAATCATATTGTATGTTTCATTCATGGTTGTGCATAATCCTTCACTTATAGATGAGTGTGTTACCATCGATGGTCAGATTGTACCACACACTCCATACGGGCATACAGGGACCAGCTAGATAGATTGCTCGAGGGAGAGGTGTAATATCATAATCTTATACATATATATTTTAGTTTTAATGTGTATCTTATTAGTTGTTTGTGTATGCAGTTTGTTTGGTTGCCTTATCTGAGTCTCGAGACCCTACCGCCCTATTATTCAGCTAGAGTCGGAATATGGATTTCAAGAATCCCCCCGATCTATGCGTATGTAGTGGAGATGTACTATCTTGATCGCTTTTGCAGGCAGTTTGGTGCCCTCCACATCTAAATCTCTATGATCGTCATCTACACCACATTAAGTCAAATGTTATGCAAATTGGCCTGGTGACGGTGAGATACAATATTTAGATGTGTGTGAGGGACGTTATGGTGCTACAGTGCATATGGATATTGGGATGGTGGATGCCACACCGGAGTATCGTCAATGGTACTACCTTCGGGGTCGACGACTGATAGGGAACCTCGTCCATCCGCACGGACCAGGGTACATCCCCATTTCTCCCGAGCTATAGACCGCAGTAAGTATTCATAAAGTACATAATTCTAAATTATATTTGTTTTAAACTAATCAATAACATTGTATGTAGTTATATTGTATGGCGGATTGCAGTCAGCGCCTTGATCCTAGTAGGCATCCAGATGGGTTTGTACCTTCTCATGAGGTATTGAGAGTTCACGCGTTGTTAAGAGAGTGTGTTCGTGCCCTTGGACATGCATCTATCCTTGATCACCCACAGGAGCAGCAAGTCCACAACCCTAGACATATCAGGAGACGGGTAGATAGAAGGCGTGATGCACCTGGTGTCGGGGTTAAATGTGGAGGGCAGGGTAGTCAGAGGTTGCAAGTCGATGATGAAGATGTACACGTCCCCATTCAATCTCCCCCTATGACCCAAGACTAGATGATGTTAGTGATGAAGAACATATTCAGACTAACAGTTACACATCTTCTTGCATGGGTGAGTTCACATCCTCCTCGATTCCACATAGACAATTTGTCTCCACTACTAGACCTGCGGTAATCCATCAGACAGTGGATGACATAGAAGTGGAGGGTGAAGGAGAGCAGGGTCTTCGCCAACGACGTAATCGACGTGGAACACGATGTGGTACTGGCAGCCACTATCTTTAGTAGTTTTCTTATGTTGTCAAATATTGTGGTATGTACTTAATGTTTTGAGGTTTTAAAAAGTTTGTTAAGTGTTTTGTTTATGTTGAAATATTTGGTTAGATAATTTAGATTTTTTAAAGCACTCTAGATTTTTTTTAAAGCGTTTGATAATGATAAAATATAAATAAGTTTAATTTCAAACAAGTATTCAAATAAAAAAATCATTTCTAAAAAGTAGGAAAAAATACGTAGTATAAAATATATCAGTACATAATAAGATTATGATATTTCAAATCTGCCCCTGCTCCCACCTACCCTACAATAGTACTCACACCCACTAACTAAAATAACACTGACTTGTAACTAACTCCCTTATCACTCTCAACCACCAATATCAACCACCTTACACCTACCCATCAAATATCAACCACCTAACTAAAATAATACTCACCCCCACCTACCTATCCACTAACCATCACCTTACACCTTATAAATAACACAGGACATCTCAGTATTTCAATGACACCATTAAACTCTACTTCACTCTATTAAAAAAAGCAATGACAGAGGCAAATAGTATACTTTTTGTAGCTCATTGGAATGGTGAGATACAAGTTGTAAACAGTGAGGTTCAATACTCTTTGCTTCCGAAGAAGTCATTATTGCTCCACTCCGACATCTCCTACAACACATTTCTCGCTCAAATAAGCAGTGATGTTCTTGAAGATGAATGCCAAGGCATGGAATTCGTCTACGGTAAATTCCCCAGACATCAATCAGGGGTTTATGTTGGTTCACGACCTCTCCCAATAACCGATGAACCAACATGGCGGCATTTTATATGGAAAGCATCACGTGAATACGATGCAGTTGAAGTATTCATCGGAGTGTCTAAAAATGTTGAGGAGGAAGATGATGGTAATCCATTCTTTCAGCAACCAATAGATCAGCCCTCTTCATCCCATTTCGCTCAGCATGTTGATAGCGATCCAGATGATGCTGGTACATTGCACCCTCAACGGAAGATGAAGATTCTTTGGAAGAGGAAGAGGACATATCTTCAGATGAAGGAGACGATGGCCACGACGTTCGTGCAATGACACAATTACAGGACATGCACAGACGCGAAACACATAGATCGTTGCAACCGACGTTCCACGTCCCAATTATTGAGGTTGGAAACAAGTATCCTTCTTTCCAAAGTCTACAACAAGTTGTGTCATTACAGAACATTGCGGAGCATAGACACTTTCACACAAAAGCGAAACAGAGCCGTTATTGGAGAGCAAGTTGTGTATATGCCCCCCAATGCACTTGGTTCATACAAGCAGCAGAGAATGCTGGGTGTAGTATATGGACCATAAAGCAATATCAGGGGTATCACCAGTGTAGACCAGATTACACGCGAGCTAAAGACGACAAATTGTTAACCAGTGAGCTCATAAGTGGCCTGATTGGTCCAAAAATGGAAGAAGATGCCGATTATAGAGTCAAACTCATAATGAGGGATGTTTATGAGTTGTTCCAAGTATATGTCTCCTATAAGAAGACGTGGTGTGCAAGGACATTGGCCATTCAGCAATTGTATGGTAGTTGGGAGAACTCGTACAACAAGCAGGATCCTTTGCTCGGTGCAATTATGGGATCAAACCATGGGACAGTTGTGGATTTGCAAACCCAACCTACGAACGCACCAACTACATTTTAGTTCAGGTATGTTTTCTGGTCCTTCAAGGCATCCATTGATGTCTTTCACTATTGTCTTCCAGTTATTTCAGTGGACGGGACTTACTTATACGGCAAGTATAAGGGAACTTTATTAACTTCCATGGCAATGACGAGAAATGGTGACATTTTTCCCTTGGCTTTTTCCATTGTGGATGCTGAGGATGGTGCAAGCTGGAAGTGGTTCATGACAAATATCATGCGACATGTCGTGCCTCCACACCGCCATATATGCATAATATCTTATAAGCACAGTGGTATTGATCACGCATTCAATAATGTTCCAGAATTGCAGGGAGGTCAAGTCACTCAAAGATTTTATCTCTGCCACCTGCGAAGCAATTTCCATAACAAGTTTCGAAGTAAGAAACTGAAGAATATGATGTACAAAGCTGGTGAGACCCTGAGCAGACACTTCTCTAGATAGTGTCAAAAAATCAAGAAGCTTACAACTGGCTTATGGCTATTCCAAAACACATGTGGGCATTGTCCCATGATGAAGGTGGCTCACGCTATGGTATAACGACCACAAATTTGTCAGAAATCTTCAATAATGTCCTTAAGGGATGTCGTTGTTTACCCGTCTTTGCCATTGTGAGGTTCAGCTATGACAAATTGGTCAAGCTTTTTGTTGATAGGCGAACTAATGGATATTTGTGGCAACAATCTGGGTATAATTTTCCTATGAATGTGTGGAAAAATATCAAGAACAATGAAAAAATAGGCTTTATTATCGTGTTGTGCAGCATTACGCACAACATGGGATATACTCTGTGGTTGTGGATGGGTCCTCCAACAATGGTCACCGCGAGACATTTGCGGTGAATTTAAATGCACGAACATGTACCTGTGGAGAATGGGTAATATATCACATTCTGTGCATTCATGTCCACGCAGTATGTCATCAGTGTAGTGTCACCGTGGATCATTTGATTCCAAATGTTTTTTCAATCCAGTCCTACATCAACGCTTATTCGGGCATCCTAATGCCGCTTCCCGATGAGGCCGAATGGCCTACTCCAGGATACAAGATAGTGAGACCAACTGCACGAGCAAGGACACAAACCGGTCGACCTACAAGAACTCGCTATCCGAATAACATGGACTACCGACTACGACGACGTCGCAATGAACAATAGATATATTATGGATTTCAATTATGTCTAAGTTTATGTTTTATGAATTTCACAAAATAAATTAGTTATGGCATGTGTTTTGTAACCTTATTTTTATGAATAAATTATATGTACTCGATCAATTAATTTGTATTATGTCTAAGTTTATGTTTTATGAATTTCACAAAATAAATTAGTTATGGCATGTGTTTTGTAAACTTATTTTTATGAATAAATTTTATGTACTTTATGAATGAATTTGTTATGATTTACTTCTTATTTTAATTTCGGTGTATGGTGCATTATTTAAAGTCAATAAATAATTATTTTATTTATGCATTTTATTTTTAGTAGATTGTTTGTTTCATTATATGTAAATAATTTGCTGCTTTTTATAATTTTTTTGTTTTTCAATTATAAGAAATAAAGAAAAAAATTGATTTTTTTAAAAAATATAGGAACAAAGTAGAGAAATAAAGAAAAATTTGATTTAAAAAAAATAATATGTGAACGGAGTTGGCTACTCCGTTTCCCTAATTAATGACTTGGAACGGAGTTGGCTACTCCGTTTGACTAAAGAATAAATCGCAAACGGAGTAGGCTACTCCGGTTTGCTTTATTTGGGAAAGTGCATTTTAAAATTACATATAATGGAACACATTTCAACCAATCTACACATGCAGGGAAAAAAAATCCAACCATCATCGACCAATCCGGCGACAAAGCAATCAGGCGGCGCCGATCAATTCTGCCTCGAGTCAAATCGTCCAAGAATCACAATCGTCATGTCTCCGCCATCAAAGGATGTTAGAGACGGTGAAGTTGGATATTTTATTACTTATTTAGCAGTAGTAGTAGTATTCATTATATATTATTATTATTATTATTATTATTATTATTATTATTATTATTATTATTGATGAGTATAAACCCATGGCCAACCGAACTTGCCCGCCACTGGGCAACTGTTCAATAAAGCACTACATGTAATGGGATCTAGAAAAAGGCAACCGTTCACGAGGAAGGCCTATCGCGACCGACTAGAGGACGATTCTCTCAGAAGACTGTTAGAGTATATAACATTCATTCCTGGGCAAAGACCGCTAGAATGATCGGGCTATCCTGGGCAGCGAGTGACCAAGTCCTTGGATGATTGGCCCAAGGTTTGGCCATGCATGGGCGCATGGACAGGGTGGACGATCTCGTGCAACTGATAGGGGCTGTAACACCCCGACCCGCATAACACGAATACATGAGTTAGCGAACCTGGTTGCTACTAATATGGTATCCAAACATATAATATTTTTAAAATAATTTTAAACATCCAAACAGTTCTAAAAATAAAAGGCTATCATCAATCATTTCACCCCACATCTCTTCCTCCTTATTGTCTTCTAGAATGAGCTCTAGGTTCATTACATTTTTCATTACCTGCGTGCAGTCAAACAAAACAACTACACGCTCAACAATGACGCCGAGTGAGAAAAATCTAATGATAAAGTAAACAGATAAGCAAACCCACAATTCATTACAGCCATGTGATACCATGCAATTACATACAAATCACATAAATAGTTCATCACGTAATTTACCTGGTACTTGCCCATACCATCCTCATCAAACATGTGGATTCTTCAAGACTGGTGGATCACCAAGAACCTCTTTGGAGTCATAATTGTTCCACTAAGGGCGTTTTAGACTAAGGACTTTTTACTCTCTTTGGAGTCATAATTGTTCCTAATAGATCAGCAGATTGTGCTCAACCAACAAAGGGGTTTTCCGCTGGATGGGTGGAATCCCCACCTGATGGATCGGACCACCTGGAAATTCAAGGATACCCGTAGATTCGTTTTTACCTGGATAATCATTGACCTGGTAGGCACCACATGGCTTAAAATCTTAACTCCCTAATACTTGTGTCAGTCATAGAGTTCCTCTTGGTAGACTTGCCTCAGCTCATAGTGTTGGATCAACGCTCGAGTAACCTGAATTATATTTTGCATGCTGGATCAGCCTGCTCTTACCATTGGACTCAAGATCAAAATATACAATCGAAATATATAACAAATAGCGGCCTAGCTTTGGGTATTGACACCACACTTACCATCATGCAATACATGAGGGCTCGAAACTTATCCTTGACATTAACCAGACATAGCAGCACGGTACTGGGTTACCGTGCGGGATAGCGACCGATAGAAAATCTTGAATTGTGGCGGTAGCTGGCTACCGCCTGAGCGATAGCAAGCTACCGTTTTTCTAACAGTGGGGTACCGAACGGCATCATCGACCAAAAGGGAATATTAGTCTCTAGCAGTAGCTCGGTACCGGCACGCGGTACTGACCTACCGTCTGACGATCTACAACCTGGTGCAACGTAGAATATGGCGTATCAGAGTTATTTTGAGTCTAAGAATACATCCACCAACATAATGTATAACTATAAATCATTCATGCATGACATAGAACATACCCCATAACGTTTCTATGACTAAAAACATGCTTCCACCCATTCTTGGCCCCATAAATGGAAGTAGGGTTCTCAACACATGGTTCATGCAAGGCTTTTACGTAAATAAATCACCATAATGATTACGAACGTAGATTTCAAAACCTAGATGAATACTCTAACGCTAGGGTTCCACATACTCACCTCAAAATGACGAAACTAGTTCACGAGTGCAAGGGTTGAGCAGGGAGATGGCGACGGTCGACCGACAATGGAAACGACGACCTTCTTTCTCTTCTTCTTCCTTTTTTCTCTCCTTCTATGCTGCTGCTAGGTGTAAGGGAGGGAGGGAGAGGGAGGGAGGGAGAGAGAGAGAGAGAGAGAGAGAGAGAGAGAGAGAGAGAGAGAGAGAGCGAGAGAGAGAGAGAGAGACGAGCGAGAGAGTTGTGAGAACGTGCAGCATGGGGAGGGGTCTAACGCACGTAGGAATATTGTTAAATAACCTAGGGATTCGTGCTTCCTAATTAAATAACGTACCTCGTGAAAAATACGCTTTTCGAGCTAACTTGCTCTGAATTTAGATTCTTTTGCGCCGTTGGATTTGTCTCGTCGAATTCTACATAACGGTATAACTTTTATAATTTATTGACAAATATTTCTAATTAACTTCAGGTCTGTCTCCGTGAATAATTAAGTATTTTTAATTAAGTAATTCTGATATGTCGAGTTTCGAGGCGTTAGAGGGGAAGGTGACAAATGATTAAAGGACAAAATGACAGGAGGAGTGGTTAAAGTGGACTCAACCTTTGCATGGTAGTTGAGTCCTTGTGGCGCGCTTACTGTAGAGGTGACCACGTCATGACTTCAGTAGATTGTGATAGTTCCATTCCCCCTATAAATATAAGTCTAAACCCTCTCGGAGGGGAATCCAATTTTCGTAGAGAACTCAAGAGCATAGTCGTGCTATAACTCTGTTATTCTACAAACTTATATTAACGACCAACTTACAAACCTTCATCCATCTTTTGTAATAGGAAGAGTCTCTCCAAGCAGCAATGAAAATTGGGAGATGCTAGGGGTACACCCAAAGTGTACCCCAAATGTACAGCACATGCATGCCTCTTTACCATTCATTTTATTTTATTTTTATTTTTTATTCTTTTTTAAATTTTACATGCCTTTTTTATGGTTAATTAAGGAGGGGGTGGGGGATATTTGGGGTACACTTTTGGTGTACCCCTAGCATTTTCCATGAAAATAATACCACTACACTATTTTTTATTCAAAAATAACATTGTCCTTTATTTTTTCACTAATGCCTTTGAATTCCTTAAAAATTTTAAAACTGCCACTCCAGTATTTTTTTTGTAAAAAATATCACACTCTATTTTTTCTTTCAATAATGCCATTAAAGTCTCCAAAATTTTTAAAAACCAAGTAGCCCGATCATTCGACTTAGGCCTCGTTCCGTTCAACTTATTTTTTCTTATTCTTATTAAAATCAGATCAGATCCAATCAGATCAGACCTGGTCAGATCCCATCAAGAATTATTATTATTATTATTATTATTATTATGATTATTATTATTATTATTATTAAATATGAAAAAGAATAAACTTTAGAAACAAGTTAAATAGAAAATTGAGAAAGTAATCCTTAATTATTAGACGTCATAAAAATAAGTTTTAAAATACATTGAGAATGTCAATCTAATTCTACTTTTAAAATACATTTTTATGGCTACTTGTAATTTGAGTTTCTAAAGTTTTGATCTTTTATAAGGATGAGATATTTTAATAAAAATACAATCTCTTCTATATTATAATTATCTAAATTTAATTACTTTTTAATGTATATATAAATTATATATTTATTCTAATGTATATATGAAGTAATTATTAAAATATTAAATTAATATTCTAATTTCACAAAAAAATAATCATAAAATAACAAATATTGATTATATTATATTATGAATTATCATTACAATTTTCAAACGTTATTATAAAGTCAAATCAAATTATTGATTTGAATTTTAAATCAAATCATAATTAATCAGATCTGATCAGGCTAGATCAGATCAAAACTACAAAAGATCAGATCAGAAAAAATAAATTGAACGGAACGGAGCCTTAGTTTTTTTCTCTTTTTTTCTAAAAGAGAAGA